ACCTCGCCCGGCCTTTTTACTACTTAATTGCATAGTTTGAATTGAAAAGCATTTCCTCCTTTTTTTTTCTTTTTTTTTTTTTTTTTCATACAGTACCTGAACACATGGTGTTTACAGTGTTTTAAATAAGACAAAATTGGTACATTTGGTAGCTGGGCTTGGTGACTCATGCCTATAGTCCTAGCACTTTGGGAGGCTGAGGTGGGAGGATCCCTTGAGCCCAAGACTTTGAGACCAATCTGGGCAATATAGGAATATTGCCTAGATCTCTACAAAACAAAAAACAAAACAAAACAAAAAACACTTAGCTGGGCGTGATGGCATGTGCTTGTGGTCCCAGCTACTTGGGAGGCTGAAGTGGGAGGATCACTTGAGCCCAGGAGGTTGAGGCTGCAGTGAGCCATGGTTACACCACTGCCCTCCAGCCTAGGCGATAGAGTGAGACTGGTTTCCAAAAAACAAACAAACAAAAAGGACATATGAGTTGTTTCTTTTGAACTGACCAGTATTAAACTTTAATATTATAGATCTATCTTGCTAAATGTGGTGGGTGGAAGGAGGCTTTGGTAGAATGTGACTGTGAAGTTGGGGAGCTTACATTATATAAAAATGCCAAAGGTGACTTCATGTGCTGTAGTCAAGGTCAGTGTTCTAAGCTGGTTGACCACTAGAACCATGTGTGTGAGGGAGGGCTGTTAAGAACACAGATGCCCAGTCTTTTCTGGAGATTCCTGTTTAGTGAAATTTGCACAGACCCTGGAAATCTGTTTCAGGAGTTTCCCAGGTGATCTGGTCAAGCCTCATAAGCCTCACGTGGCTTATTCTTTCTCAGTGCCTACCCAGATGATCTTAAACTTGCCTTCCAGGTAAAGTAAGCCATGCTACAACTGGAAAAACTGGAAAACTCAATCTGAAGTCCTCTATCTAATAGGTAAACATTTTGAGGAACACTTTGAGGACCTTGGCCATGTCCACCCCCACCCCTATCCTCAGTCTGTATGTTTCAGTGACTAGTACAGTGCCTGCTACATTGTTTCTAGTTAGTAAATTGGTTGAAATAGGGAATGTTTCTTTTTCTGGTAAATGGTGTCTTGAGCACTTTGCGTATTTAATAATTGTGTCTTACTTTTGCTTTTTTGGTCCTACTCTTCGTGGCATTGAGCTGTAATGTTGTCATCTCTAATGGGGCAGGCCAGTCTAGCATTGAGTTCTCCTCCTAGGAAAGAATTTGAGGATGTGTGCTTTTTAGATGACATCTACTGGGTTATATTTGATAGATTGCCATTGAAGTTTGGGATGGATGAGCCTATGTTGGTGGAGATTTTATTAAAATTTTAAATTTGAATGTCTCTTAAAAAATTTGTTTGATGCTTGCTACATTATGATTACTCAAAGTCACAAAACTTTTAAGTGTATTTGATACTATTAATACATAAGGAATAGCCTAGGAAAATGGAAAGATATTGCATTAGAATTAAGTGATCTGAATAATTTGTGCTTTTGCCAGTGTTTTTAAAAATAACTTCAGTTCTGCTAAGAGGGTAAGGGAAGATCTCATAGTAAGTTGTTAACACGTAAGAATATTAATATATCTTCATGTTGGTTTGCCTCAGTCATGAAAATCATTGTTGGCTTAATGTCATTGATGCTTAGTGCTTAGTGTGACTCTGACAGAGGCGTCCTGCCAAGGCTGTACTGTTTAAAAGAACGTTGTAGCTCCAGAATCTGAACATTCCAGCAGCTGTGGCTGAGTGGCATCTGTGTTTAGTTTGAGAGCTGTGGGCCTAACAGTGCTCAAGTCTGTTTTTGTAGTCTGACCTTTTTCTGCTGTGGGTCATAGTTACGATTTTAGGGTACAAAACTTTGGGGTGGAAATGAGACTTAATTGTTGAAGACTTATCAGGTATATACTAGATTTACCATTTGTTTCATACACTTCATTCTTACCAGTATACAAATTAAACTGTCCATGGTGTACAGTGGGAAGAGTGAATGCTATCACTTGGGACACAGAACACATTGCTTTTTTTTTTTTTTTTTAACTTTTCAGAATTTTTTTTTTTTTTTTTTTTTTTTTGAGACAGGATCTTGCTCTGTCACCCAGGCTAGAGTGCAGTAGCACAGTCATAGTTGAGCCCAGGAGGTTGAGGCAACCTTGAACTCCGGGGCTTATGGGGTCCTCTTGCCTCAGTCTCTTAAGTAGCTGGGACTACAGGCATGCATCAGCAGTCCAGCCACTTTAAAAGTTTTCTGTAGACATGGGGTCTTGCTTTGTTGCCCAAGCTGGTCTTAAACTTCTGGGCTCAAGCAGTCCTCCTGCCTCAGCCTCCCAAAGTGCTGGAATTAAAGGTGTGAGCCACTGTGCCCACACTAACTTTTCAAAATTTTAAATTAGGGAACATTTAAACATGTAGAAAAATAATAGTAAAAATAATAATGAATACTTGTATAGATAGTATTCTAGTATTTTTATATATACTAACTCACTCAATTATTATACTAACCCTAAAATAAAAGATAGGTTGTATTATCCCCATTTTACGTAACAGACATACAGATAGGTAAAGTAACTTGCCCAAAGATACACATTTGTCAAATGGTGGGGCTGGGATTTGAACTCAGTATGGTGCCAAAGTGCATGGTCTTAACCAATACAGTATACTCAAAATATGAAGATGATATAACAGCCCGAATGATACTTAGCACCTAATTTTAATAAATGTTACCATTTTACCATATTGGTTTCAGTTTATTTTTTTTTTCTAAAACCCATTATGCTTAGGCCACTGCTCCTCTTTAAGTAGGAAATTGTAGTAGATGATGTCTGTGATTTTTTTCTGGTTACATTAGATTCTGACTTCCAGCATCCCTTTTTCAAATATCGGTCCTTCCCCTAGCAGTTTGACAATGAGTAATTTTGTTGCAACTGGAAAGAATATGTTCAGCAGATATTTCTGGAGTATTTGCCATGTGCCAGGCACTGTGCCGGGGGTGTAGATACAGCCATGAGAAAGGACCCTGTTCTGGGCAGCGTGTGGAACTCATAGTCTAACGGTGTGGGAAGGTGGATTTATTTAAGCATAAGGTGCATACTTTTTGTGGGAAGTAGCTGATGTAACTTGTTAGAGACACAGATTTGATGATTTCAGATCTGCTTGTTGGATTCCATAGGTATCTTTAGCCTTGGGTTAGTAATTCACTTATTTATATTTATTTTCTGGAATATAATTCCAGAATGATGTTCAAATTAGGGAGGATCTGTATTCTAAAGGCCAGTCTCTGTTGCCTTCATCCTGGGTTGGCTCTGAAATCCCCCTTGTAGGTCTGTGAACCCTGGAGTGGAGTTGTTGTGGGTCCACTTGGCCTTGTACTCTGTTTCTAGCTCTCTAGTTGTGGAACTGGAGCGGGCTTCACATGGGTCTTGCCTCCAAAAGCTCAGGACTCAGGCCTGAGGAGTCCCAGGACTTGGCATTGCCCTGGCTCCTGTGGCATGAAGATCTCAGATCTTGTGGAAGCTGAGCAGTAATGTATGGTTTAAGGGGAGCTGACTTTTTTTTTTTTGTCTCCTTAGATCTTACCCATTCACTATGTGTTCAAACATAGTGAAATTAGCATATGGTAAAATAGATTTAAAAATTACAAAATTAATTTAGAATTTAGCAATATTACCACATCAAAAATTTAATATCAAGCATCTTGAAATAATTTTTAAAATACAGTGAATTAATAAAGTTAGTTTCAACACTGCTAGTGTTTTTTTTTTTTTGGAGATGGAGTCTCCCTCTGCCACCCAGGCTGGAGTGCAGTGGGATGATCTTGGCTCAAGGCAACCTCCGCCTCCAGATTCAAGTGATTCTCCTTCCTCAGCCTCCTGAGTAGCTGGGACTACAGGCACATGCCACCACACCCGGCTAATTTTTTGTATTTTTAGCAGAGACGGGGTTTTACCATGTTAGCCAGGATGGTCTCAATCTCCTGACCTGGTGATCCGCCTGCCTTGGCCTCCCAGAGTGCTGGGATTACAGGCATGAGCCACTGCGCCTGGCCAACGCTGCTAGTATTTTTATTCACCGTAAGTATTACAGAATGACGGCTTGGTTGTCCAGACGTTACTGTTTTACTGTTAATTAGAGTAGTCCTAATAAGAAGGGACGTGCTGATGAGTCTTCTCAATTTACTCACCGCTTCTCAACTTTATTTCCAGCAGATGGTTCTGAGTGGTGGTTTTTTTTTTCCCACCACCCCCCCCATTTATATTTAGGAGATTAGCAAATGCTTTTGGAACAGATAGTAGTATTTTGGCATTTGTTTTAGTTAAGACTTTTGGAATCTATCATGCAGTGTCTTGACAGAAAATGGGCTCCTTCTGAAATGAGATGATAAAGAGATGCTCTTGTCAGATGCTTCTCAGGAGATGGCAGTAGCTGTTTCTTAGACATATGCCATGACATTTTAAGAAAATTACATAATCATTTTCTAACCACCCCCCCCCACCCCCAAAGTTCAGGAAGTTTGTATAAAAGTTCTAGGAAGCAAGTATACTTCTTAGAGAGCCAGCGCTGGAATTAGCCTGCATATGGAGATTGGAGTTCTTTTTCTGCAGTTCATTAGTGTGGGCAGTTTAATCAACTTCTCAGTGCCTCCCTTTTCTCATCTGCAAAACAGGGATAATTTCTACTTTCTTCACAGAGTTTTTGTAAAGATAGAGTAAAAGCACTTTTAAAGTTATTAGGGATACACAAAATGTAATTTATATGTTAGTATATATGTGTTTTTTTTCTAGTAGAAACAATCATACTATTTTAAGTTTTTGTAAAACTGCTTTCTTATTTGAAATTCGTGTTTGATTCTCAGTGATCATAAGTTTTATTTTTTTAATTTCAAGGAGTATTCTGAGGCTTGATATTTTAGGACTTGGAGAGCTTATAATAAAAGACATTAATTCAATATAGACGAGAGCATTATTATCTAAACATGTGTTGATGACTTTGTGCTTTTAGGTATACCAAGCTTGGCTACGCAGGCAACACTGAGCCCCAGTTCATTATTCCTTCATGTAAGTAAAGCTCTATCCTTGGGTTTATAAAGGTTTGTGTTTCTCAGAATTGTTCTAAGTGTTCTGATTCTGTTTTTCAAGGTGTATTAATGTACTTACTGTCTTCATTTAGAAGACTGTTCTGGTTACCCCACAATTTTCTATTCCTTTCATTCCATTCTGATAAAGCCCCTTGTCACTGTCATTGGAATCTCAGCTTGGGTGGTCAGCAGGGTCCGTTTATTCAATTATAAATGCCTGAACTGCCTAGAAAAAAGTATATCTGTTCTTTAAGGTTAATTTGTAGTCTTAAGTACATACAGTCGGTTAGCTTAGCAACTTAATGGACTGAATATCTCTTGTATTACACTATTCACTCTATTGAAAGTTTTTTTTTTTTGGGGGTGGGTGGGTGGAAGTGATAGACCTGATAACTGTTTTCATTGTGTTTAGAAGTGTTCTGTTTTTGTTTCAGTTTTAATCAGTAGAGAATGATAAGTTTCATGGAAGTGTCCTTGCAGTTTGGCATGGGGTATTCTGCTCTCTCTTTATTTCCTGTAGGAGTCTTCCCAAGGTTAGTCAGCTGTTTAAAGGATAGGAGTCTCTGGAACTGTCTACATTTCAGGTTATTATTTGGAAACAATTTGCTAAAGAGTAAGATGTATTAATCAAGAGTAAGTGAAACTCTGCTTCCTACATGTAGTTCTTGTAAGATAAGCTGTGATTTTAGAAATTGTAAGTTGTTAGGAGTCCATGATGTTGTAATAACAGGCTTTGGGAACAGTGCAGAACATGGACAGGGAAAAACAGTTGGAGAGAAGATGCTTGATGAGTATTTATTCAGGGAAGGGCTAAAGCTGTATTAGGTGAATGTGGGTATTCACATCACTAGGAAGTGGACTCCAGATTCTTTGAGAACATTTAAGTCACGTCATTCCAGTTCTTTGCTTGCTGATTAATTGGCCATCAATGTAATTTTCTAGATCTTAATGCTCTGCTGCCATGAATGGGTTATCCTTGATGACAGGCGTGATTGGTCTGTGTTCTCATTTTGAATTCATAAATGCGATTCTTAGTGTGCTTGGGCCACCATAGTAAAATACTAAGGACTGGAGAAATTAATGTTATCATAGTCCTGGAGGTTGGAAGTCCAAGATCAAGGTGCTGTCAGAGTTGGTTTCTGGTGAGATCTCTCTCCTCGGCCTGCCGTGTGGCCGCCATCTCTCTGTGCCCTCGCATGGTCTGATCTCTGTGTCAGTGCAGGGGGACCTCTCTGATGTCTCTTTCTCGTCCTATAAGGCCACCACTCTTATTGATGGGGATCCCTCATTTACTCTAATCGCCTCCCTAAAAGCTTTGTCTCCAAATGCAGTCACATTGAGGGTTAGGGCTTCAGCATAGTGAATTCTGTGGGGACATGGTTCAGTCCATAACAATTGGCGTTCTGTAGGATGAATCAGTCTTTTGTGAATTTCATTAATGTGAATGCCCCAGAATACGATCAGTCCATGCTGAGCTGATAAATTGAACTTCCTGACTTTTCAAAGCAGAAGATTAGATTTTAACCTTGTTAAGTGCAACAGCTATAAAAGGCTGACCTTACACCTTTTGCTTTAATGTGTTGCCATTTAAAACTGTCGGTAGCATGCAGTTGGCTGCCCTATTTAACCTGTCATCATTAATAGAGAGGGGAAGTGAAGACAGTTATTAGCAGGATTTCATTCACTGTCAAAAAGCAGGAGAGCTCTCAGACTGCTGCTGTCAGAACCTTAGCAGTTGCAGAAGCTAGGAGGATAATACAGTTGTCAAAGAGGTGGGAGTGAAAGAACAGTTGTATTGTTGGGCTGAATTTGTTGCAAGAGATAGAGATAGAGTCAATGTTAGAAGATGATGGGGCAGAAGTGAGCATACTGAGATGTGGAAGTGAGGGCCTGGGTTAGCGTGGACAGTTGGCCTGCTATGTGTCTTGGTGCTGGGAGTGGAACTGTTGCGTGCAAGTGTGTGGATGTGTGGTGAGTGCTAGAGCGAGACTTTCTTGCTCTGCTGGGCATGGAGTCTAGGCACTGTGGGGGTGTGGAGAAGCAGGGGTGCCGCGGGAAGGTGGGGAAAGCGCCAGAAGGTGGGGATGACCTGTGGAGAAGGGCTGGGTGGTGAAGGACTTGCAAGTGTCCTCTTAAGGAATTCTACTTTCATTTTGCGTACCAGGGATTTTCAGACTGTTTTTGAGGCGTCTGTCTGGGGCCTGGCCCACTCTACTAGAGAAGTCCCAAGCTCTGTCCCTGCCTCCAGGGGCAGCTCTGCATGTGTCTGGTTTGTTTGAGCTTCTGTGCAGAATTTGCTTGGTTGTTTGAAGAAAGTTTTTCCCTGTTTTTTTTTCTTAAGTTGTTGGAGGATATCCGTGGTCCTGCCACAGCTTTAGGAGGAGAATGTGTGGTGATCACAGCAGTAGAAAGAGGCTGGAAGAGGAGCAGGGAGGGGCTGAGAGAAAGGGCTCACATTTTAGACATTCAATGTTGGAAGAGTTCAGGGGTGAAGAGATTTAACGCCCAGGGAAGAGAGTTAGGCTGGAGATAGAAAGTATAACAAGTCTAACAACGGGCAGGCCTCACACATGTAATCCCAACACTTTAGGAGGCCAAGGAGGGCGGATCACCTGAGGTCAGGAGTTTGAGACCAGCCCTGACCACAAGGGCAAAACCCCATCTCTACTAAAAATACAAAAATGAACTGGGCATGGTGGTGCGTGTTTAATTTCAGCTACTCGGGAGGCTGAGGGAGGAGAATCACTTGAACCTGGGAGGTAGAGATTGCAGTGAGCCGAAATTGCGCACTGCACTCCAGGCTGAGCAACAGAATGAGGCTCTGTCTCTAAAACACACACACACGCACGCACACACACACACACACACCCCCCACCCCAATGGACTTACCACCAAGAATGAACACATCAGCATTATTGCATATTTCATCTTTGTATCAGAGTAAATGAATAAATGACATATTACAGGTTGAGTATCAGTCCCCTCTTTTTTCCTTCTTTCTTTCTTCTGGTGGATGGTTTGTGGTTGACTTTCTACTCCATTTTTAGCTGTATATTACATGTACAGGGATACATTAGTTTGTGAGTTCAGGCATTTCCAAAATGGTATCATACTGTAACTAACTTTCTCCATGGTCTTTAAAAAGAAAACCTCAATATTATGTTTTTATCATTTATCAGTGCTGATACAGATCTGCATCAGAATTCTAATGTGAATATACAACAGTTTTTTTTTTTTTTTTTCTTTTTTGAGGTGGAGTCTCACTCTGTAACCCAAGCTAGAGTGCAGTGGCGTGATCTCGGCTCAGTGCAACCTCCACCTCCCGGGTCCCGGTTTAAACAGTTCTCCTACCTCAGCCTCCCAAGTAGCTGGGATTACAGGCACAAGTCACCATGCCCAGCTAAGTTTTGTATTTTTTAGTAGAGACAGGGTTTCACCATGTTGGCCAGTCTGGTCTTGAACTCATGATCTCGTGATCCGCCTGCCTTGGCCTCCTAAAGTGCTGGGATTACAGGCGTGAGCCACTGTGCCCTGCCACAACAGTTTTTTTTTTTCCCTTTTGGGCGTTTTCCACATTTCTCTGTTAAATAAAATGGTGCAGTAACGATCTCCTTATGCATATGTGCTAGTTTCCTGGGAGGAAATCATGAGAAATGGAATTGTTTTGTCACAGGCTGTACACCTCTTCATCCTTATTAGGCATTGCCACATTGCTCTTCCAGGAGGCTGATGTATATCCCATCAGCAGTGGGGAGAATTTCTGCTTCGTACAGCCTTGACAATTGGTATTGTTTTACTTATATTTCTGTCAGTCTAATGAATGTAAAACAATGGATCATTCAAAAACTTTCCATTTTTCTGATTAATGGTAAGGTTGAGCACCTTTCATTGCCTGTTCATATCTTTGCCCATTTTTCTATTGCATTTTTTTGTCTTTTTAATGTAAATTATAGGAACTCTTTGTAGAGGTTAAATATGAATTTTTTTTTTTTTTTTTTGAGACGGAGTTTCGCTCTTGTTACCCAGGCTGGAGTGCAATGGTGCGATCTCGGCTCACCGCAACCTCCGCCTCCCAGGTTCAGGCAATTCTCCTGCCCCAGCCTCCTGAGTCGCTGGGATTACAGGCACGCACCACCATGCCCAACTCATTTTTTGTATTTTTAGTAGAGACGGGGTTTCACCATGTTGACCAGGATGGTCTCGATCTCTTGACCTCGTGATCCACCCGCCTCGGCCTCCCACAGTGCTGGGATTACAGGCTTGAGCCACTGCGCCCGGCCAATATGAAATTTTTGTAGATACTTCTTTATTCTGTGACATTTTTAAAAATTATTTTTTATCATCCAGAAATTTAAAATTTTGATATAGTAACACTTCTCAGTCTTTTTCTTTTATAATTTGTTTCTGTTTAAAAAATGCATTTCTGGGCTGGGTGCAGTGGCTCACACCTGTAATCCCAGCACTTTGGGAGGCCGAAGGGGGTGGATCATGAGGTCAAGAGATTGAGACCATGCTGGCCAACATAGTGAAATTCCGTCTCTATTAAAATACAAAAATTAGCTGGGCATGGTGGCATGTGCCTGTAGTCCCAGCTACTCGGGATGCTGAGGTAGGATAATTGCTTGAACCCAGGAGGCAGAGGTTTCGGGGAGCCAAGATTGTGCCATTACATTTCATCCTGGACGACAGAGAGAGACTCCATCTTAAAAAAAATGCATTTCTACTCCAAAGTCATAAAGGCTTTCTATTTTTTTTCTCTAAGAAAATTTTAAGTGAATTTGTGACTATGGTGTGAAAGAGATAGGTAGTTTTGTTTTCCGTGTGACAGGCTAGTTGTCCCAGCACTATTTATTGAAGAGCGTGTTCCGATTTGGCACACATCTTTGATAATATTGAGGTACCATTTATGCTTGGGAATATTTTCAGTGTCTTTATTTTGTTTCATTGATGTATTTTTCTGTCTATGTCCCATACTCACAG